GGCACTTTTGAGACATATGAACAAATAATTTCAAGACAATAATATTTTTTCTATCCATTTACTTATGGAGTACCTAACATTATGGAATCCAGATATGAATATGGTAGGGTTCTGTAACTGCTAAATCAAAAGAGCAGTCAGTTAAAATACATAGATGTGCTAGCCCCACACTGTCCTAAATGTCCTGTGTTCTCTTTTTCCTAATGCAATAAGACACTACAGGCACCACATTTATGAGAATTACCTTTCTGGGGAATGAAGCCTGTGGCCTCATTTTTCACGTCTCAGTCAAAGTATTCATAAGCCCCCAGAAACACACTGCCTGTCGTGTCTTGTTGTTTAAATATTATGATAGAGCCTATGAATAACCAAACACTGTTTTGACATGTTCATAATAGCTTTTGTTTTACATCTGTACCGATGCATAGCCTTTTCTAAAAATTCAGCATCGCTTGCCTTTTACTTTGTTGTTACAGTTAATACTTTGATCGAAGTACTAGAACAGAGAATTGACATCTCTACCAAAAAATCAAATTGAACTTGAAATGAGTAACTTTACATTTTTGGCAATGATGTTTTGCAAAATGAAAAGGTCTTTCTCCATGACAGAAATATTATTAGGTCTTTATCAGATACTTATTTTCCTTCAATGAAAGTTGTTCAGAAGTATTCAGCTAAATCACTGGTAGTCCACAGAGTGACACTTTCATGTGGAACTTTTTTCAGTTGTTGTTTGTGCAGTGGATGTTGTGTTAACACCAGATGTCAATCACACAGAACCAGTAGATTTGCAAGATTATAGGACAGGAAAAAAGATGAAGGTTAAACACAGGGCACAATAGAGATTACTTATGGTAATGAATTGTATAATTTTTCTAGACAGATCTGGATTAATGTTTATCCCAGGCAAGAGATTACTATATGTCTGATTCTGGTTGTAAACACATATTATTAAACAGAAGGTTTATGTTCATGAAATACAACTATGAGTGTTACCACACTTATGATTTATTATGTGCAAAGAGAAAAATTAACCTGTTCATCTGCTATACCAATAGATACACTGTGGATTTTTGCATAAATTGGAGATGAATTGTAGGCATCTGCTGTCTTTTAGAAAACAAATAACTCCTGAAATGGCAAAATTTCTTCTCTCAGTTACAGCCAAGGAATAGCCTTATACATTTTATAAGGAAAAATAACTTTTTCATACTCGAGATGTCTACTGGCAACATATAATAATACTACAAACTTTTGGATCTATTTTTTTTCAGTGAAAAAGTCTGTTCATTTTCACAGAATATAATGAACAATGTCCCAAATTAGATTTCCCAAATAATTCCATTATATTAATGGTAAGAAAATAATAATTTAAAGATTTGGCACTTTACATTTTTTAAATTAATTTGTATTTTTATTGAATTTTAGCTGTACTGCACATCTTTTGCTTTTCAAGTCCATTATCAGCCTCTGTTTTATAGACTCTGCTGGTGATCATGACTGCAACAAAAGTGTGATCTTCACATTTTTTTAAATAATGTGTTACCTTAGTAGTTTAATAATCACAGAGCATTCAATTATTGAATTTTTTTGGTGACCAAAGCGGGCAGGAATCTGTTAAAGATAGTCAACAAATTCAAACACTTTTCTGCTTGCATTGAATAGATACAATAACAATTTTGTAATCTGGTAATGAGGAACTATATTGACTTTCAAATAAAAATCATTTTTATAAACTCTGTATACTGTTTACAAACAGCATATGATAGCTAAAAAACTTTGTATTAGTGCTGTTTTAAATTCCCTCTCCTTTAAATAATTGTTGATAGTATTAATAGCATGGTTTTCACTCCCACTCATAACTAGTCCAATTATAGATTACAATAAATGTTTCTCATGTTTTATTTTTAAACTTCACTTTGATATGTGATAAACTTTACTTGCCTGATTAGTCCAGTTGATTTCAGTGATACTTCTCAGATAAGTAAAGTTACCTAGGAACACAGGTCACAAGATGATGATCCCTTAAAAAGCTATAATAGGAATGTTGTAAAGGTCTGAGAATTAAACTATTATAACAATTAGGCTAAATCTGACTTGTCATGTACATTATAATGCAGAAATCACATCAGTGCTAGCACGTAGCTCTGAAATCTTGAATACAACTTGGTTTTACTGATAAACTGCAATCTAAACAGTTCAAAATAAGGTTTTGGGTTTTTTTTTAAAAAAAAAAGTCAGAGCAAAGTACTTTTATTCTCTAAATGCCGAGAAGAAAGTGTTTAAAACCATTGATATTTCTTATATATGTACATTAACAGCTCATTTCAATCAACCTAACTTTGGCCTTTGTAATATTTTATAATGGCTGAAAAAAGGGAAGTATGAATTAAGAGAAGGAAGGAAGAAAGGAATGTTTCTAGAGGCTTGTTTTATGGCTCTTCCAACTAGTCTTAAAACCAGCCTATCATTTCTAGTCAATATGCACTCTCAGATATATACCTGAAATCTTTATTGCAGATGAGAATGGTGTAGGAAGCCCAAATCAGGTATATTATACTGCTTTAAAGTTTGTGCAGTGAAGCATTATATTTTGGAAGCAATAAATATATATAGTGCTCTCTATTCCCTTTACTGTGTGGTGGCAGACATCTATAAGTCATTAAAGTGACCTCCATCTTCTTAAGATAAGTAAAGGTAAAAATGAAGACTCATTTCAGTTATCAGTCTACTATGGGTCGTAAGTTGAACTAACGTTATATTTTCCTCTGAAATACGCATAGCCTTGACACAGTGTTTAACAGTGTTAAGCTTATTGCTGCTGAGCTAAACATGTCTGAAGCAAACGATGACCCTCACGTCTTTGTGATAGTAAAATGTCTCCCTGATGTGATCCCACAGACTTGGAGCATTAAGTTAATTTTCCCCTGGATTTCTGAGCTGCGTCCTTTTTACCCCGCGGAAACCTTGTGAGGAATACAGCTTTTGACCGAATGACAGAGCATGGAGGGTGAAATTAGATGCATTAAATTAAAATATGACAAAAAGCCTATCTAAATATTTGTCACAATGTTACTTATGCGGAGTAAGGTCCAACCCAGGAAGTGAAAGCAGGCTATTGCTGGAACTTAATAGTCTGAAAAAATTGGTAAACCATCCAGATTCCTTACAAGCTTTGAGAGGATAATTGAGGGAATGGTATAAGATGTCATAGTTGCAGGTTTGGTGATCTCTTTGTCTAATCTCAGATTAGTTCTTCCTGTTTTTATTTTAAATAGAATTAACCATTAAAAAGTTCTCTTTGTCCATGACCATTTTTGTGCCACTTGAACAAATAATGCTGGTATTATCCACTAGAGTTTGCATGATGTGTTTATTTGGGTAAGTAAAGTATAAAAGAGAAATACCCTGCAACTATCCCTCCACCCCAGTCATAGTATCCAATGATTATTTTTAGGCTGCAAAAATATTTTCCAGTTCGTAGGATAGCACTTATAAAAGAAAAAGATATTATCCGAAGCTACTGTATAAATAATTTTTTAGGAACTGGAGTGTGTTCAGTGTATATTAAATGTAGGAAGAGATTAAGTCATTTGGTTTATTTATTTAATGTGCATTCATCAAAACAAGAAGTTTTATTTTTTTTAAAAGAGCTGAATACCAATATGGCACATTTACCTTTTCTTTTTGATTTTCTGTGACTGGTTGAACCTCTGAAATCCTGCATTCTCTGGTCTGGCAATATCTGTGGTGCAGTGATACTCCAGATATTGCTGAACAAGAGAGCCTAGCTGGGAGCAGGGGCTGGCCAGACATGTATGTGGAGTTCCCTGGCCTGGGCTAGTGCTCAGACTGAGGCTGATGGCTGGGATGGAAGCCTTGACCTCTCCTAGTCTGGCAAATTCCCTGGCTTGAGACCAGTCAGGTCCCAAGCGTGTCAGACTAGGGAGGTCCAAACTGTGTAACAGTTTAAGGAAAAATAGGAGACTACGATAGGGTTAACCCAGCTACACAAAAATCTATGCTATGTATGACAGTAGTAAAGCTTGTGATCCCTTGATCTTTGATTAGATCCAAGCTAGTAAATATCTTGTGATTAATCTGAATGAGTTGTTCTGCATGTAGTATAAGTCACCTTCGCAGATGGATTGTAGAATCACTTGTTTGTGAATATTTGTGTTCATCCTTTCTAAAATAGTCTTTCTGTGTATATGCAAATCATATTCAAGAAACTAAATATCAGTAATAAGAGAGGAAGCTTGCAGTTATGACTAGAACAGTAGGTTAGCATTAAAAAAGGGAAAAGAGTTATAACTTAAAATGTCACTTTACTATTGTGGACATATAAAGTGATACACAGTTGTGCTTCTCATAAGTTACTGTACATAATTATATGGTAAAGCAGTTATTTGCCTGAATGTCTATTTACAGGTAGAAGAACTGTAGATACACACATACTAAACTATCAATAATTTAGTCCTTATTTTTTATTTTTTTTAAATGCTTAGTTTGGATTCTAGCCTTTTGGGGTATAGATCAGAGTTTAAAGTATCTGTATTACCCTTTTCTATGATCTGTTGGCCTCCTAATTACTTAAATCCTTTATAATTGCTTTCTGATAAAGTTTATATTCACATGCAATGTGAACATGCAATGTGAGAGAGCTCTTGCCATGAAACTTTCATTGCACATATCTAAAGATTTTGTATGGAATGTAGATTTCCATAGTTCACATATATATAACATTATGAGGTTGATAGGAGGATATTGTGCTGGGTAGTAAAAGCACCACAATTTCTGTCTTATTTCTCAGAATCGCTACAGTGAGCCTTCTCTGCACAGAGGTGTGTGATGAGATTTAACCTGCCAACATAGATGAAGAACTTTCTCTACAGTACATTTTATATTGAAAGAATATGAGAGAGAGAGTGTAAATGTAATCAAGTATATATGAGTTGCTATCATAGCAAAATTAATCCCCTTTTCTCTAATGTTAACAGGAGGACTGGGGAACCCCCATTAATAAATGGTTGGATTCCTTTCATTGGGAAGGCCTTGACTTTTAAGAAAGATGCTTTCAACTTCTTGATAGCTCAGCAACGAAAATTTGGAGATGTTTTCACTGTACACATTGCTGGTGAGAAGCATTTTACTATTTCTCTTTAATTTTTGGTCAATGAAATTGACATTTTTATATTTTATTTAGAATTTTATTTGTTTAAAAGTCTTTATACTCACTGTAGTTCTAAGTTTTAGAGCCACATGACCAACAAAAATATCTTTGGAAATGAAATATTTCAATATATATTATATATAATAAAAACTATAATGTGTATTTGCATATTCATTTCTATCTATCTACTTCTACACACATCCATATACAATGTGAGTGTTTATGTATATGCATACATTATGCCAGCACACACAATATAGGTAGATAGGCTATTTACTGTAGATTGTGTTCTCTATAGAAATGAGAACTACTATCATCTTGACACTGCACAGGAAAACCTTAGATCAAATTTAGAAAACACTCATAAAAATTGTATAGAATATATTTTTACACAGTTCTGCATCTGGGTTGACAGGAGCACTCGGATGTGAGTGACACATTGACTCATTGATAAAATCAGGATTAGAACATGGAAACTTCCTGTCTAAGATACAATGGCATAATAATAGCTTCTAAGAGAATTATCTGATGAAGTAACTTCTATGCTTTATATTTTCTTAATTTTTGGCATAATTCTGCCCTGTTTTACAAAAATCACCTTGATTTAATTTGGAAACTTTGGGATACAGGAATCAGGGTGGCCCCTAATGATTTTTTTGTGACTTTAAAAATATGTAGGTAGATGGACTCAATTATTTAATAATTTCTTTTCTTCTCTAACTTCTTTGATCCTAGTTCAAATTACCAGTTTTATAATGAATTAACATTGCTATAATGAATAAATTGGGGGCGGGGGAGTTAATCTACCAATCTCATATTGTTTCAGACCAAAATGTGAACTTAAATGGAGTCTGCTCTATGATCTCCCAGCAGCAGGGAAGGTTTCTCTAGATAGATAGATAGATAGATAGATAGATTTTAAATAAAATAACCAAACCACTTTCAACCAATTTCAAGTTTTCAGATTATAAACAGGATGCTCATTTTTAAAAATGTTTATCCCTGTAACCAAAAATTGATTAATTTTTAGATGTGCATCTTTACTAGTAGTTAGTTTTATTATCATAATTCATTCATTTTGTTGTTTTGAAACATACAATAAATTCTTTAATTTAGAAAGTGACTACAGCACATGCACAAAAATTACTTTTAGTGAAATGCAAACTGTACTATTGTTAATATATGCTCATAGTCTATAAAATAATGGCTCCTTCTGAATGCAGATTAATAATAACTCAAAGTAAGTCAGCCTTAATGAATATACCAATACAATTGGGTACAGATGCACTTCAGAACTTTTGTGTAAATGGGACATTTCTTTCTCCCTTTTTTATATTTTAATATAAGAAAAAGGTTTATGATTTGTTAAAGTAAATCTGTGACTAAGACTTAAATTAACAAATACATCAGTGAGATGGAAAAAAAATCTGCTTTTAATCTTTCTTTTTATCCCTAGATATTGTACAGTGGAATTAATTGATCAGTGCATTATGTGCTTAAAGTAATAAGACCAATGAAGTGAGTTATGCAACTAAATTTGTCTTTATTTTGGAATATCCCAAGTTTTGTAAATTTATGTCACACCCATAATATTACTTTAACCTCATTTTCTATAATTCAGTATTGGAAATGTTGAATGCTGAGAGTTCACTAAAAAGATAAGTCTCATATTGATGGGAAGGTTGTTTCATTTTGCTTTGTTTTTTTAAAGCTTAGTACTTCATATCATAATCTTAGATACTGAGACACACCGGATTTCATGATGTCTCAGTGATTTGACAAAGATGATGTTTGTGTGTGCAAACAGAACTTCCCCTGTTGTATATGGACTATCATTACTTTACCCCCCTGATGGGTGAATAAAGGTCTTGTCAAAAAATTGTATCAATATATATTGTTCTAATTATCAGTTTTCAAAGTAGTTCATTTGGAAAATGTGGTACGATGCTTGGAGTTTCTGGCATTGCCCCGTACCGGTAATGCGATTTCACTGATTGTACTTTCCCATGTGATGAGCAAATGATTGTCATTCCGAAAAGTCGCAAGGGACATGGATGTCATCTTAATAAAGAAATTAAAAAGCACATCTTTCTATGAGAAACAATGTAAATTCCTGACCTGTCGCAGAAAATAGTTCTCTAATTGGTTTTGTGTGGTGGTGCAGCAGAATCGTTTTCCCCAAACGTCATCCTGGCGAAGCACTACTGTACATCATTGTCAACAGTTCAACAAAATCTTCCTAATAAGAGGACGATTACATAAATGTGATAGTCTTTAAAAAAAATAGTTGTTTCTATATGATAGTACTTTGAAACCCAACCTTTTTACTTAATAAGGCTCAAGAACAAAAAAGACAGCCAACTAGGTAAGAACTTTAAGTCCCTCGAAAAGTCTTTTCATTGTTTTTCATGATACGTCTTCGTCTACTTATACTGATATGTGATTAGGAACCATATTGGATGTTGTAGGAGTATATTTTTACTAACCAATCTCAATTTTAAAAAAGACAATCTACATCTTATACTTGTTATACTAAGTGTGTCTAGCCTTTTTAATAGTACTTGTAGTACATTTTAAAAAATAATATACATAAATGCCATTAATAATCTTTCAATCCAAAAATAGATGAAAAGTAATTTATCTTAACTATTTAAGCACTGAAGACTATTGCAAACATTATTTTAATAACTTGCACCATTATATACCATATGGAATGCTTGTCATTTATAATTAGCATTTAAAAGGGCCCAGCATGCATTATTAGAATAATTTCTTAGCTATCATACAAATACAGATTTCTGTTCTAGGATTCACCAGCAGTTGACAATTTTCATATCTTTTACATCAGTCTTTTGTTCTGAGGAGATGGTGAAAGCTGAACAGAGATGTCTTAGGCATTCTCTGTAGTGGCTGTAATAAAAGCTGAAGGATTGGAAAGAGAAATAAGTCCTGTTCAGAGATGGATAACGAATTTGAGGACTTTTACAGGAACACATTAAATATTCAGCTATTTTTACTTGTTTTTATGCTGTTAAATAGAAGAGTTGACTCAGTTTAAGCTAGAAGGAATTTGAGCATTACTTTACTGTATAGATATGTCTTCTCAAAAGGTCGTGAAAAAGGATTTTTAGTGTCCACAAATACTATTGAACAGCTGCCAAGGACTTTTAAATTGTCACAGTAGATTCTGAATAAATTGATCCAATATTTAAAGCCCACTATTTAAAGAGTGTGTGGTCGTTTTAGCGAAGTTGGGAAGTAGCTCCTATAGCTCAGATGGAAGCTGTGGTGAACACAAACATTTTGGTTTCTTTGTCCGGTTCACTTCTAAGAGGTAGCTCTTGAGGGTAACTGAAGTTGAAGGGTATTTGGGGGGCATGTCTATTAAAGTGCTGAATAATTATTTGAATATGTATATAGGAAGGCCTATATTTAGTGCCTATTACTACTAATACGTAGACATTGCCCTGTAGAAATGAGAACGGAGCCAAATGTGGAAAATTAAATTATTTAAAATGTAAAAAAGAGAGAAAAAAACTTAACTACCCCATTCAGAAGGGTTTTTTTCCAATTCTAATATTGTTTACATTAACTAGTAGAGATCAGCAAGCTTTGGTGATTGGTTTCACCAAATGCTGCTGAGGGCTTGTGTGTAGACAGACAGGATGTTAGTACATTATTATACTAGGTAATTGACAATACGTTGCAAACAAAAGGTGGATCAGATTATGTCTTTTTACGGACGTTAATCCAGTTTAAGTTATTACTTCACCTACTTTGTGTGGGACCAACAAAGCTTTGACACTGCATACAAATATGTTACAGTTTGCAGAACATGCTGTTAAACAGATATAGCCATGTACTTCTGTGTGCAGGTAAGACTGAAATCATTAAAGGTTCCAGTTGCTAGTCACACTTCAACAGTATTTTAGCCAGAACCGGTGATCTGTAGGTTTTGGTCTTTATTTAGAAAAAGAAATACTATCTTAGATTTTGGGTGTAGGTTCTATTGGAAATACCTCAACAATTTGCACAAATTTTTGAAAACAAGCAAATTTTACCTTTTTTATATATGGGTTAAATATCACTCATTAGAATTTTGTAAATATTATAACAGAGTTTTTTAGTCATGTATTTATAGAATTTGTTGACCTTTTGGCAGTGATGTGGATGAATTTGACTTTGTAAAAATATAATTTATTTTAGCTTTTTTTTATCAACTGGAAAATGATGTATCTTATAGAAATGTTAATCTGTAGCACACCCTTAATCATAGAAAATTCTGAGTAAAGTTTTTTCTTTACAAAAGTTTGTAATTACACTAACATTGAGTGAATGTTGTTTTAAGTTTATGTATTAAAATGATGTTGTTTGTTTGAGGAATCATTTGCTTAAAATCATGTTACTTATTTAAAAAAAATTATCAGAATTGATGTGCGTTTTGCTAAATGTCTGAATAAAGATCACAAAGAAACTTGTATTTTGCATGTGATATAAGCAGATGGTGCACAGATGGTTTAAATTAATATTAATTAAAAATCTTAACTTAAATTGTTTACCCTGTAAACTCAAAGTTGGAAAGCTAGCTAACATATTTAGGGTTAATAGTGCTCCAGTCTACTTATTAAAAATCATTCCAAAGGTTTTTATTTCCAGCCCTTGGTCTGAAAGATAGTGGCCTCAGTGTAAGGGCCTTCAGAAAGAAAAGGTATAACAGCTGGAGTGGGGAGAGTACTTGAAGGTTGACAACACTCAGATCTCCAACAAAGATCTTGGGCTAGTTAAAAGGTTAAAAGAAGCACTTTGAGAATGAAAGTGCATTCATGGCTGGCAGTCTAGTAAAGGAGATCTTTTTTTCTACTAGTTGGAGTCAAGTCAAGAAGCCTTAGTTCTGCTCCTGATTCTGCTACCAGCCTGTCATAGTTATTTTTAGTAAAAGCCAGAAAGTAACTCTAAGATCCTAATGCCACATTGTTTAATTAGTAAATTACATTATAGTAAAACAAAGAGAAACTTAAAGACACTCGGAAGTGTTTCTTTGACAAGACCTTAGACTCAATTCTGCCTTGATATGTGCTTTGTGTAACCCCCCTTGATTTCAACAGAAATGTAAAAGTCCGATATGTACTTATAATTACCACACAATTCTATATGTATCCGCAGTGAGAACATGAAACAACTATGGAATTTCACTAAATGGTACCGAGGGGTAATTGCTGACTTTTTAAATAATGGCTAATTTATGTAAACAGAGTCACATTCTGTCCTCTGTTACACATGCGCAGCTCCCATTAAAGTCAAAAGGAGTTTCACTCATTCAGCAGACAAAAATTAGGCCTCACAACCTTGTAAAATTTGTTCCTTTTCTTCTTTGATAGTGTTGATATTTCACAGAACATGTACAAGACTCACAAATCCTTACTGTGAATTTGAACTTAACGTGGGCCCAGCTATATTAATTTCAGATTTAATTTTACTTTGGGAGGTGTGTTTTCTTTTCATCCCTGACAAACTACCAGTAGTTTGATTTACAGGATATGCTTTACTAATACTTGATCTTCAGGAAGAAAGAAGCTACAAAATTAACTTTTAAATAAATCCTAAAAAATCTCACATAAACAAATAAAAAGAACATTTTTAAAAGAAGTAGAAATTAATGCCAATTCTCTCTCTAATGTTGCTATCAGCTCAGCACTATCTCTTTTGATTACATATGTAAGAAAGGTTGATATGTTGTTAGTGCATTCTGAGGTGATTTTTTGGGGGTTCTCTTTTGGGGGGGATTAGTTTAGAGTCAAGATAAAATAGCATACTCCACAAAATACTTTTCCATTGTTTTGAAATGATGGTATATTGCACAGCAAACTATTTTCCTAAATAAACCACAAGTTTATAATTTATTGCTACTATAATAAAGCTGCATCATTCTGATAATCTTAAGGCAGTAAAATATGGAAGAAGAAAGTATTTTGGTTGACATGTTTTCTTTGGGTTATGGGAAACAATACAGGCCCTGATCCTGCAATGGGTCTTCATGCAGGTGGCCCCCGGGGCTCATGATAGCCCCCATTGATTTTAGTGGATTCTGTAGGATCATAGAAATGTAGATCATCAAGTCCAGAGTCCATCTAGTACAGCCCATTATGTTGAGGCAGGACCAAGTATATCCCATAAAGTATGCAGAGCTCATTGTATAATTGAAGCCTTGGTTGTTGCAACTAACCTGGTCTAACTAATTTAGTCTCTTCTGCTTGCTGATATGTTAGCATATTTTCCACTTCATCCCCTCTCATACTACTAATGTATTGCCCTTTCATATGGAATGATTTGTTTGGAAAAATTTGTTTAATTTTGCAATTAAAAGATATCTAACAATGTTTAGTTTTCAGTGCTTTTGGAAAACATAATGAAGCTATATTGTATTTTTCATGAATTATGCTAGTTTAGTATATGATTCCAAAGTACCATGATAAGTCACCCAGCACTGTTATCAAAACAATAACTTGATCTACACTTGACCTCTCATTTTAGTCTACTACAAAAACAAGGTTTCTGGCTTATGTATATAGTAATTTCTCTCTTTAAAACTAAGTTTGAAACTTTCTATGTGCTTCTCACATGAAACACTAGAAGAAGAAATGGTTTAAATTGATAGCGAATATTATTATGCTACCATATTAATGGTAGTATCACAAAAGAACTGATCTGTATTTGTGCTTCTTTTTCTTCTGTTCAGGTAGATATATTACCTTTATCATGGACCCATTCCAGTATGTTTATGTGATCAGAAATAGCAAGCAACTGGATTTTTTTGAATTTGCTAATAAAATGGCATCAAAAAGTTTTAGCTATCCCTCTTTGTTAGATTTCCCAAACCTTAAGGAAAGAATACAACGAAATTACAAATACCTGCAAGGCGAAGCTTTAGGCATAATTTCAGACCACATGATGAAAAATCTCCAGCATATATTTGAATGGAAATACTCTCAAGCAACAGATTGGAAAACAGAAAAAATGTACAAGTTCTGCAGCTTTCTAATGTTTGAAGCCAGTTTTATAACACTATATGGAAGAGATCCTGCTGCAGATGGCTACAATGTTATTAGTGAAATCAGAGACAAATTTACCAAGTTTGATGCCAACTTTCCCTATTTAGTTGCAAACATACCAATTCAGTTGCTAGGAGCTACCAAGAAGGTTCGGAAGGAGCTTATACATCATTTTTTACCTTGGAACATGGCAAAATGGATGGGAGGGTCAGAAGTGATACAAGACAGAAAAGATATATTAGAGAAATATGAGCTGCTCCAAGATTCTGACAAAGCAGGTAGGAAACTTATGAATGATTGCTTGTCTAAAATAAAATAATTTACTATAGACCTTTGAAATAAAAAGGCAAAATGGCGACCTTGAAATTTTTTATGTTCTTTCTAATTGGCTAATGATAAAATGTTTTACTCTGAAACAACCATCTATGATAATTGATTTTTTTTTTGGCTGAGGTGGTAAAACAAGATACTTAATGGTGATAATGAGAGAGATTATAACTGAGCTGCATTTACTTCCTTTCTTCCTTCCCTCCCCCCCCCCCCCCCCCCACCATTACATTTCAAACTATTCTCATTAAGCAGAAAATTAGACTTCAGAAGCCTATTGGTCCTCATTAGCATTCACTGATCCTTGGCTGGGTCTGTGTCCTAACATCTTTTAATTAGCACACTGCAAATCTAATCAGTGTAATAAACGCTATTAATCTTCCTTTTCACTTATTTTCTCCCAGCACATCATTTTGCCTTCCTTTGGGCCTCTGTGGGAAACACGATTCCAGCTACATTCTGGGCCACATATTATGTTCTACGGCACCCAGAAGCTCTTGCAGCGGTGCGTGACGAAATTGACCATTTGCTACAGTCAACAGGTCAAAAGAAAGGGTCTGGATATAACATCCACCTCACCAGAGAACAATTGGACAACCTGGTCTACCTAGGTAATTTATTTTTATCTGTTGTGAAGAAAAGAGGGTATCTTTCTGCAAACTCCGTTTATCACTCATTTCTGTTTACTGAGAAGGTGGAGGACACAGCTGCTTAATTGACATAATAACACCCATTTACATCAATTATAAATTATGTAGTTTATAGCTGTAGATACTCTCGTTGCATGTAAACATTAAAGCCTAGGTAATTAACTATGCAAAGTATGCAAAAGGCTAAATCGAAGCTTTGCAATTATTTGAAAAAAAGTTTATATGCCTATTAAGTTGTTTGATTCTGAGCATCTGCCGAAGTGCTAATGCATTTCAGATACCTCTGTAGTGTGTTGCCAAGAAGGGCCTTCTCTTGAACTGAATAATAGTAGTTAGGAAACTCAATTTGTGCTCAAAATGTAATTTACTATTTCCAAAAACAGTTTTATTCTTTCAGTCCTTTTAAAAAAAAAACTGGTTTGTGTTTGTTTTATTTTAAAGCAGGTGTATGATTCCTAAACAAACACAAACAGAAAACATCAGTGCAAATGTGAACCAATATTTTTAATAATAACTATGAATGACACTTTGAAATTATATGGAGAATCTTAGCGGATAGATAAGAAATTTCTGAGTTTTTTGGGTCACTGATACAAAAGTGAACCTTGTTGGTAGACCTAGAAAGTTGTTTCCATCCAGTGCCTGCATTGCATTTGTAATGAGTTGATGGTCTCACTTCATTTCCTAATGCACAAACATCTGATCACAAAAGCTAATGAGGTTGATATTCAGAAGGACAAATGTCAGTCAGGCATGTAACTCTTAGGCCTCTGAAAATTTCCACCATCTCCTTTGACATAATGCTCCTTTGTCACTAGTTGGTTATAGAATGGACGACCTCTGAAGAACAACATAGAGACCGAGGTTCCATTGACAATAATAGACTCACTTACATTTGAAGCTGAGCATGTGCTTTTCTACCTCTTGTTGCAAAAATCTCTGAGGCAGAATCTGGTTTTCCACCTAAATTGCTTTTCCACCTCTTGAGAAAATCCCTTCAGATTAACATTGAGACATGTTAGCAGAGCAGCATGGGAAAAATTTTCTTTTTTTTACTCAAACTGTACTTGTTTTGCAAATAATAAAAGCCTCTTTTCTCCAGCACTGTCTTAACTGGCAAGTGTCACAAACTTCTCAAAACTGAGTTGATCATCATAGAACAAATGTAAAACTTGGTTTGTTTTTAATCCATCTTTTTGGTACAGACTGATCCTGTGACCATACTATATATTAATTTACAAAGTTGGCTTCATTCCAACGTCACTGAACTATGTTGGTGAAGATATACGTTTATACGTTGATAAAGAACTTTTTTTATGTAGAGGAGATGGACAGTGTTACTCTGTAAGAATGTCTATGACTTTCCAAGCATTTAATCTGCTTGATTGGGAACTTGAGTACAACTACTTCATACCAAAGTTAATAGTTGCATGGAAAAAGTTCCCAATGAAAGAATGAAAAAAATTAAATTAGGTCAAAAAAACAACTTATTGTGTGTTTGGAGGATGAGACTGGATGGTCTAGTGAAAAAACAGGCCGATTGTATGAAGGAAAATTAAGAGGATAAGTATGTTGGGCTAGGTGGCCTTTTCCTGGACTTAAAATGTATGTCGTATTGTATATTGTTTAGCTTTTTAAAAACTAAACAGTGTTCACTGGGGCTGAGGTTTCTTGAAGTAACTATTTCATTATTTGTATCCAGTGCTGTTATCAAATAAATGTAAGTACCTGACTAAAACCATCTGAGGCAAAATGTATAATGAACAGTTAAAAAACATTAAATATATCATCCAGATTGATGATCCCTGAAACCTTACAGTATGTTAGTACCACTGAATTTTTTCTATTTGGGTGCGAGTGAGGGCACCAGATTTTGCCTCAGAGATTTTTGTAACAAGGTTGTTAAAAATTTTTATCAGAATAAGTTGAATGTTGTATGAATAGAAACCGCTTTCAGTTCTTCTTGCACCTCAGTCATAAAGAAATAGACGCTGTCCCACAAAACAATAAAAAGAGTGACGTCCACATACAGCTGGGTGCATTAAATAAATGCTTGAATGAAAAGTGTCCCTAGGCTAGTCATATATATGGGAAGAATGTGGGGCTGAGACAGCACTGCTTGCGCACCCAAAATTCTCAGCTGCTACGCTAACAGTTTTGAGTACATAAAGAAAGCAGGATCAAGCCCCATCTGTACATTTAAAGAATTCTAACCATAGCATCTGAGAACAAGCTTGATTCTTCAGAATATGGAGAAAGGTCATCTAGACTTGTCAAAAGAAACATTGTCTTTGTTGTGGACACATTTTCTGGTCTAGGGAGCGGTATGGACTGACTTAGGTACTTCTGAATCCTTCATTTAGCTGTTTGTGTCACCAAATCACAGGCCTAATTTTTTCCAGGTATTTCTGGAATAGCACAGTTTCCTCTTTTTCTCCTAATTTCTCCAGGAACCAGAATGTGCTTATTTGTGTATGCAGAGTAAAATACATTACTAGTCATTATGACTCACAATGGAGCTCTAATATAGTAAACAATACACACGAATGGCACTGAACACACATTTTGTTCCAGCATGTTTTCTTTATTTAATTTTATAATTTTACATTAATTCATATTGTGAAATATTCTTGCCCCAGGACATTGCTGAATTCCAGATATTTGTTTCTAAAGGAGCATTGCTTGAAAAATAATTGTATGTATATGAAAAGGTAGAAAAATTAAAAGTAGCCATATACAGGAGCCATATCTGCAAATCAAGTGTTAGGCATAAAAAAGGTTACTGGGATTTGAAAAAATAAATATATTCCCTAGCATGTGTTGGTCAGTGCAGCTCAGTTCTTAGTAAGCCTCAGATATACTTGTTTCAGATATTATAATTTATGTTAGTTCACTGTAGTGCATGATGTAAATTATCACCAAAAATATTTGCATACTCAATAGCTATTTTTCTATAATACACTCTAATAATTATATTGCCCTATTACCTGCTAAATGTTGGTATAAAATTAACAATCCATTATGCACAATAAGTTTTATAAAACATTTACAGATAGAGATCATGTTTAATTAAAATTAACTTGCATATGAAAGCCAAATGTACTAATGATTCGCAATGACCTTTTATTACCTGCAGTCCCTTGTTTTGGCTGCATGATTGACAGCTTGCTGTTTGGCTACCATGTTGCATTTCAGCTGACAAGACTTTTCATTTTAACTCAATTTGCCTGCCTATCACAAGCTGGTGGCAGGCCAGGCTCAAGTCACCCAGCTTTGCCTCAGCAGCTTGCTCTATTTCTCATTAGTACGCATTTATTCAGTGGAAATTGGAAGACAAATGCTTGAAGGCATGTGAACTAAGTATAGCAAATTAGGTTTAAAGACTGAATATTTATAAGTATATTGAAACAGGTTTTTTTTTTAATCTAGACTGAATTGAGAGCTGAGTGCTAGCTTTGGTATAAGAGAAATGAAGACAGAAGTAGGCGGGTTCTAAAAATAACAATACTATGAGATATCTCTCTCTTTATAAGAAATATGTAAAATTGCTCTGACAATACCTTATCAACTAACAGCCTGGTTTCCTCTTTAGATAGCACTTGTATAACAAAGTTTAGCATCTTGTGTGTGTAAGAAGAGAAAAAAATGAGGGTCATGTTCATTTGCTGCTTGGTTATCCCTTGGTATGCTTTAAATTGCCTTGTTTGTTCGGCACTAGCACAGAAACAGATGTTGCTCTACCGTGCTGGATAATTTACTGTACCTCATGGTGCAGAATGGAAGGTCTCCCAAGCTACCCAGCTGGTCTGTCTGCAACACTGGCTGGTGTCTGCTGAACTATGACAACTGCAAGTGAAGGCTGCAGTTTTATTGTGCAGTTGTCATTCTTCTCAATGTATAGCTCCAGCATTCATACAGGGTTTGTGGAAGGCTGAGTGTCTATTTTTTAATGTTAGACTGCAAACCCATATAAGCTCCATTCTCCTTTGGTGATCATAATGTGACTCATTACTTTTGTCATCTAATGATTATCGGCATGATCGCTCAGAGCTGCAGCCAAGCTCGCCTTCCACACATAACTGGTACTGGAAGGTAAAACAGATTTGTCATTTACGATCTGACCGCTAAGCCACACTTTGTGCTCCATTATTGTGATTAACTTCTGCATAAGATATGCTTGCCCAATTGTCATTTGTGATACCGCAGTGGGCACAGACTGCCATGCATCCTGGGAGAATGTCAGCCAATAGGATGTGACTGTGTAGCTCATGTTGTTAAATGTAAACCTGCTATTTCACAGCAGCAGGTCCATAATTATTTTGCTTCTCTTTTTTTTCTTACTTGTTTGATTTCTGGGGTGAACCATGTTGCTGCATATGTCAGCTACCATTTTCAAACTGTAGACTAAAATGGTGTTATCGGCTTCATTTTCCAAGGCTAGAGACTGCAGAAGAGTGGAGGGTGGACCTTTTCTTTGTACCGTGTAAAGTTTTGTTGCCAGTGCGCTGCCAGTTGAAATCTATCGTGTCAGCTGCCTTGTGGCTATCCGCAGTAGAGGCCATATTCTGGAACCAGAGTTCTTTTCTGGCTTCGTCACCAACAAGCCGATTTGACTCTGCCTGATTATAGTAACGAAGGCAGTCCAAAAGAATATGCACAGACTCACTGTGCGTCACATTGAATCACAGCGCTGGCCACACAAAGCTGACCGCAGCCTCATTTCTTTAGACAAATGCACGCTTAAGGAAAAACCTCCTGCGAGAAAGCATCCAAGGCCGCTTTATTTGCTATGCATGCTACACCAGATTTAATTTTTAGTGAAAGAACGTTTGTTGTTATCATTTTCAGATGTATCTATGCTGTGTAGATACTGCCTGTAATAAACTAACCTTTGGGTGCAGGGATTGTGGTGCCATGCTGAACACTTTGTGGGGAGTTATTTTATAATACAAAGCATTAATACAGTCACAAATGTATTATCATGTGAAACTGAAACTCTATTTTAGGCTATTTTTCACACTGATGATTAGAAGAAATCAAGTCACATATTACAGCACCCATACATGCTGGTGGAAAAATAGTCAGTTTTGATTACAAAGTGAGAGATGCAGCCTTAGACAGGAGCTACACGCTGATATGCATGCTATCAGAATGATTTATGCAAATTATGCATATTATTCCCAAAGGAATTCCTCCTCAAACTGCCAGGATAAATTGCCGGAAATTAGCCATAAAATCTGTCGTGCTAGGAGCAAAAGGTGAAGGCCACTGGGAAAGCAAGGACATTCAGCTTCTGGAGCCTTCTAGGCTAGGATGATGTTAGAAATCTTGTTTGCCATAATACTGAGAAGAAGGTTTTTCCTCAGGAGTCAATAAAAGTATTTTTTTTCTTTTAAAATTGCTAGGCAAAATATTTATAATTATTCTGCAAATAACCAACATTACAATTTGGCGGCATATCTGGTTTTACATTTTTTTTAAATCTCAAAATACTCCTAAATGATTGCATGATTAATGAAGTAAATGATTTTTCTAGCAGTGTTTCTGTTACAACCCACAGCTTTTGAAAGGCAAGCCTAATAGTCCTTTCAGTGCTTTGACTGGTATTTGCTCCAAAATACATGTAAATGCATCTCTTTCAATTGTGGTGTTTTCAGCATGATGCCTAAATAATGGCTTTCCACCCAAAATTTTCTATTGCCTAAAGCTTGCAAGATTCCACAGAACCATCAGTGAGAATTAATCTAAAGGTTCAGAATTCAGCAGCTTTTCCCCAGCCCCTCCGGGATAGTTTATTACCTCCTCATAGTGTCTAGTATGGTTGTTGTTGGGCTTTTTTTAGCCTGCCCTACTGAACTTGTAGAGATCCAGCAGCTGTAGCCATGCATAACTTCCAATCATCTTCCATATTTTAATGCTCCCTCCCCTTTGTTTAAATGCAGAGAGTGCTTTAAATGAGAGTTTACGCATGTGCTCATCTTCTATGAACATTCGGATCAGCCAGGAGGATTATATTCTCAAGCTTGAAGGAAATCGGGAAGTCAGTTTGAGGAAAGGAGACTGGATAGCTCTTTACCCTCAAATTTTGCACATGGACCCTGAGGTCTATGAAGATCCTAAGGTAAAACATTCAGCTGGTGCTACTCATTGTACTTTAGGCACATTGCAGCAGCAGTGCTTTTTGTGATCGTTATATATATTTTTACTGCTGTTCCTTCTTGTGGAACAAATCTTCTTGCTTTCAGATGTATTTTCTCGGGCCCGGTAGGTCAAAGGATTCATGGCCTGAAGAGAGAAATATGGTGATGAGACTGACTGCTACTGCTTTCAAAGGAATTGACAATTGCACGTTAACTGCCATAAACTTTAGACCAAATGTGGGTTTTGTTTGGCAGTGGATCATTTGATACCCAAGGAGGGCTGAATAATAGAAGATGCTTTAAATAGCAAATAGTGTGAGCCATTTAGCTAAGTGCCCCCCAAAGCACCATTGATTCTCCAAAGAAGTGTCTTACTTGAGCCGTATGTTTTTCCCCTCTCTTCATAGGGATTCACCTCTTTCTGGTCAATTAGTATGATGTTGTGAACTTGAGATTATAAAGCTGTTGCTCTGTGATGAAGCTCTGAGGGTAATTGTGTCATCTCCTTATATTTTTTTCTGATGCTAGCGTTAATGAATATCAAAGACGGGAAATTAATCCACCCTGGCTCAGTCTTAATACGACTTCAGAAGTTCATCACCTGCATGCAAATTAGCCATACTCATCCATAGATTTTACTGTTGTTGCTAGTCTGATGTGCTGTACAGAAAGTAAGATTTTACAAAGTGAGACCAGTCAATGCCACCTGTATCTTACAGAGATGGCAGTTTAAAAATAAATCATTTCTCCTCACCTGCCCCATCATTTTCTAAGCCAGGGATTGTTTATCAATCCTTAAAACACTTAAGATAATTGCAGATATATTCCAAGTCATAGTTCAGCTTCAGGAGGGAAACTAGATTTGTTTACACATTTTTATGCCATCGCTTAGATAAAACGCAACCAGTTTTAGAAGTGCTGCTTCCTGAAGTTTTGCTTCCAGAAGAATTTAAAAATAATAATGTGTTCATCAAGTTTCAGGAAAAGGGACAGATTCTGACATCCTTGTTCAAATATTATTCTGCTCTACAAGTAGTCCTATTGAAGTCAATGGGACTAATTTTGAAGTGTAAAGTGCTACTCAACATAAGCAAGGATGCTGAGAGGCTAGCCAGAAGTAGAAATGGAAGTGCTGCTACAGATATAAACACAATATCTATTTTTTTAGTTAAAAAAAAATCTGTCTGTACATATACAAAAAAGGAAAATTCTGTGTATAAAATTAGTAGCTGAGCATTTCTTGAAGTCTTCCTTAATAAGTAATTGTCAGAATGTGTTGTGTCTCCATAGATGGAGTGAATTTTCTCAATATCAGATCTGTTCAGCCTTCAAGATATCACTTTAGTTCATATACTTTATCGTTTTGATGGTGAATGAGTTATCAGTATTTTGCAGAGCACATTGATTTCAAAACAGAGACTCTCTCAAAGGTGGGGGAAATAACTTCTGTTGTGTTCTTGAATTTGTAGTGTGCACATCTATTGAATATGAGATGCAGACTGAATTTTATGGAAGAGCAATCTTGGGTTGGTCCAATATTTTGGGATTATATTGGGTGAGGAAAAAATGCTGGGGAAACAGGTAGCATAGTATCAGCAATTCACCTCTGCAGAATTTAAATATTAAATTTAGGCCAAAGATTAAATTAATGTCTTATTGTTAGGTATCATAGTACACAAGAGTACATAAGAACAGCCATGCTAGGTCAGACCAAGTAGGGAGTGAACAGAACAGGTAATCATCATGTGATCCCTCTCCTGTCATCCATTTCCAGCCTCTGACAAATGGAGGGTAGGGATATACCATTCCTACCCATTCTGGCTAATAGCCATTGATTAACCTAACCTCCATGAATGTATCTAGTTCTTTTTTGAACCCTGTTAAAGTCCTGGTCTTCACAATATCCTCTGGCAAGGAGTTCCACAGGTTGACTGTGCACTGTGTGAAGAAAAACTTCCTTTTGTTTGTTTTAAACCTGCTACCTATTAATTTCTTTGGTGACCCCTAGTTCTTATATTATGGGAACTAGTAAATAACTTTTCTTTATTCACTTTTTCCACATCAGTCATGATTTTATAGATCTCTATTATATCCCCCCTTAGTCTTCTCTTTTATAAGCTGAAAAGTACCAGTTCTTTTTTTTAACTGTTAGTGACCTATTTCCTCACTCCTCAAAGCCTAAGTAAATGAACAGCAATATTAAATCAGGCTTCCATAATGTAGTCAAGTGACCCTCTGATGTCTACATAAATTAGCCTAAACTTCAGTGAGTGATATGGTGACCCTGTAAATCCTGAACAATAGAAAATCAATATAGGAAGTCCTGTATAGCTCTCAAACTGAGCAATATGTATTCTGTGATAAAGATGGATTTAAATTCAGATATATTAATTTGCTCAGTTTCCATCATGATTAAAATTAATGCTATCAAGTCTCACAGATGTTCAGCTGGAATTTTACCTCTTGTTTCCGACTTCTGGGTTTTTAGATCGGAAACGAGGTAAAATTCCAGCTGAAGGTCTGTGAAACTTGAAGTGGTCTCTCTTAACATAAGAACATAAGAACAGAAGAACGGCCGTACTGGGTCAGACCAAAAGTCCATCTAGCCCAGTATCCTGTCTGCTGACAGTTGCCAGCACCGGGTGCCCCAGAAAGGGTGGATCAAAGACAATAATCAAGCGATTTGTCTCCTGCCATCTCTCTCCAGCCTCTGACAAACAGAGGCCAAGGACACCATTTTATCCCCTGGCTAATAGCCTTTTATAGACCTAACCTCCATGAAATTATCTAGCTTCTCTTTAAAATCTATTATAGTCCTAGCCTTCACAGCCTCCTCTGGCAAGGAGTTCCACAGGTTGACTACACGCTTTTATTAAAATTAATATATTGCAGTGTCTTTGTATTTCTGTCTAAGAGATAATCAGTCCACTTTTTCCTCTGGGGTATGGCACCACCAAGAACCAGCCTGGCAAACTTTCTATGACTTTTTTACTGTCATATGAGATGGTTTCTGTCTGAATTGCTTGTTCACGTGTAACTTTCAAAAGCCTGTGCTAAGTTAGATGTGTGCTAATGAGCAACTGTAGGCAGAAAGTGCTTTGCTGTTTTCTTACAAAACATACATGACCATTTTAAGTGGTTTAATTTACTGTGGACTGAGCTAGGATTGCCATATCTTCATTTACAAACCCCAGTTAGTCCTAAATGATGACCCTGATATTAAAGAGCTTCGAAAAGGTGCAAAATTATGGGACCTAAGATAATAGCTAAGTACTCTAGTAAATTCTAGAGTACTTACGCTAGAAAAACACTTCCTACTATGGTCATGTATTCTCATGTGGCCTGCTTTGCACACATCTTCCATAGCAAAGCATTGAAAGTCAGGTGTGAACAAGTGAGACAGATAGAAACTAGCTTCAACCAACAGGAAAACTGATTGTAAGTTATCCAGGCTAGTACCTGAACAATCCACACTGGGAGAGGGTAAGTGGTGGTTCCAGTAGATCAATTTTCTCCTTTCCAGAAAGAGCAAAATCAGTATACCAATGGGATTTTGCTAACTTTTCATACACTCATCGAATCAGAAACAAAGGATTGGAAAAGACCTTGAGAGGTCATCTGTCTAGTCCCCTGCTCTCGTGGCAGGACTAAATATTACCTATTATTATTATTATTATTATTATTATTATTATCTTAATGTATTTAGCCACCTAGGTGTGCAGGATGCTTCACAAACAGAAATTGTCCTCTTTCTGAGGATCGTTGTCCCTACCTAAAAATTAGAACAAATACAGTAAAATAAATAAATAAATCCTGCACTGGAATGGGCATACATTGTCTTTTCTCCTTTCTGGTCATCTGTTGGGAATGGGACCCCATAATGACCTACTGTGAAACTGCCATAGCAACTAGCACTCTGTCTAAAAGAGGCGGCACACCTTTTCCAACAACCCAGACAATAGCCCCTGCCACTTAGGCTTTCAATACCTTTTAGCAGTTTAAAGCGCAGCCGCGGCAGTGCTTTAAACTGAACGTGGGGCCACAGCGGGAGCACTGGGAGAGAAATCACCCAGTGCTCTATGTAAATTGCCTCTGCAAGGGGAGTACCTTACTGTGCTGGAAGTGTGACTGTAAGACAACTTGTTGTAACTTGCTGCGCTGGGAGGGGTGTTACAGTGCTGCAGAGTGCCAGTGTAGACTTGACCTTAATGTGCAATGAAGTTATTTGAGGGTAGATAAAACTCATTTTAAGTGAACAGAGTAAAAAGAGGAAGCTGTCAGTTATTTGCCTTAGCTCTTAACTTATTTCAGGGTCTAGAAGCACCCTCTGTCTTGCAAATGAAATCACTCTTGTAAGTGCTCTGTTAATTGACCCCATCTCTCTTCTATTTTCAGGAGTATAAGTTTGATCGTTTTATAGAAAATGGCAAGAAGAAAAACACCTTCTACAAAGGGGGAAGAAAACTGAAATACTTTCTGATGCCTTTTGGCTCTGGAATCAGCATGTGTCCTGGCAGGTTCTTTGCAATGAATGAAATAAAGCTGTTTCTGATTGTACTCTTGGCTCACTTTGACATAGAACTAGTGGAAAAGAAGCCCATAGGACTCGACAACAGTCGTTTCGGCCTTGGTATCCTCTTTCCAGACTCTGATATTGTCTTTCGTTACAAGATAAGGTCTCTAGAAGAGTAAGTTGCCTGATGCAGATTTCCCACTAATCTCACTTTTTTTTTTTTTTGCTGTTTTCTGACAGTGCATTTTCTTTGTAGAGATGTTTGCTTTTCCTGTTTTGCTTTCATCTCTCTCCTATTGTGTATGTTTTAAGTGAAAAAAGAATAATGCTAATGCCTTAGGATTGGAGGATCACCCTCACATATACAAAAGCGGGAATGGCAGAAAATTGGGCAAGAAGTGGGGGCATGGAAGAAAGCAGCAGCTCTGAGACATTCACCTTGCACAGTATCCTGAGCCAACGGAAAGAATTACCTTCCACACTACATCCTCTCTGCTGAGGACGGAGTATTGCAATTGGAATAGCCAGTTGCCACATGACTTTGTAATCCACATTAACTCAATGTGGGCCTCTGTCCCCCTCTAGAGAGACTTTTGTCTAGAGAGACTTTTGTCTCCTCTGCTGCCCTTGTCTTACCATGTCTTTTCCTTTAAAACAACTCATAGAGGCACAGAGTTTTAGATGGAAAAGTCTTAGGTTCAATCCCACAGACAGTTGACCAATCTGGAGGTGCCATTACACTTGCTCAAGGAAACATGACATCCAAGGATGAAGAAGTCCTACACAGCAGGGTGCAAGGGCAGCCTCACTAGAGAAAGACAATATTTTTTATTCCCACCATCCCCAAGCCTCTCTGCCCTCGGCACAGCATTCACTAGAAACTGCATAAAATCTGTCTGGGTGGTTTCCTGAGGCCACCTTTCTTCTCTGGTAGTTTTACTTGAGGAAGGCCCCAGGTGATCTTTGATGACCCCAAAATTGATGATGAGTATTCCATTGACCCCTCTTCCCTTCAGGCATCCTTGCACTAAAGAAAGGCCTCGGAGAAAAATACTAGGCTGTGTCTACACTGGCATGAATTTCCGGAACTGCTTAAAACGGAATACTATTCCGTTTTAAGTTTTTCCGGAAAAGGAGCATCTACATTGGCAGGCTTCTTTTCCGGAAAAGCCCTTTTTCCGGAAAAGCATCTGTGGCCAATGTCGTCATTTTCGCAATCAGGGCTTTTTTCCGGAAAAGACTACTGGGCTGTCTACACTGGCCCTTTTCCGGAACAGTGTTCCGGAATAAGGACTTATGCCCAAGCGGGAGCAGAATAGTTTTTCCGGAATAGCGGCTGATTTTGTACAGTACAGCGCCGTTGCTTTTCCGGAAATTCAAGGGCCAGTGTAGACAGCTCGCAGCTTATTCCAGAAAAGCGGCTGATTTTCCGGAATAAGTGGCCCAGTGTAGACACAGCCCTAGTGTTTTTGTTTAGGAGACATATCCAATGAAGTGCTGGATGAGGATCTTGGGAGCTTCTGGAAGTCCCTGCTTAAATTATACCGCCAAATGGAAAGGAGAATGAATTGCTATAAATAGAGCTAACATTTTTTTAAATTCCCATGGAGGTTTTCTCCTTGGGCCTTTTTCCTCTCTCCCTCTCCACCAGAAAAAAATTAAGTAACTGCCATGCCATTTCAAATTACACAGATTTAACACTGTTCTACGTTATCAATATATTCTATCTATTTTTAGAAACAAAAATATAAACAATTCCATCAAATGCATTTACTGGTAAATTGTTCACTTAATGATGCTGCCCCTGTCTTGGTTATGGCTATTTTCTTGTCAACGGAAAAACAAATGAATAGGTCCTTCTGTCTTCCCCCTCCCTGAGAGATCCACCTTCTAATACATGGGGCTTAGCACAGGGGGATATGATGTGTAGGAGTGTTGTGTTTATTGTCTTGGCAGCATTTCACTGGCTTTAGAGTGCATTTTGAAATTCAACAGTTTGTTAACATTGTGCCATGACTCAGTAACCTGAATTTACTAATGTTACAGGGCCTGATTCAAGCTCTGTGAAAGACAACAAGAAGCTTTTGACGACTTGAATAGGGTTTGAATCAGGCCCATACTTCCTACTGATTTATCTGAGCCACAATACTACATTATGTCATGTTTAATGTGAGACACTCTGAAAGAACACCATCCTATAAAAAATGAGACCTCTGTTTTGCCTACTCGCATAACCATTAACATTTTGGATGATTATAACTGAAAGAAATTAGAGAATAGTTTGTCTTGTTTACTGTGTACATTTGACAGCACTTTGTGTTTGCCAGTTCTTCCTGTTGTTTTTCTTACAACCAGAAAAGAAGAAATTTGTCAAAAACTAGAAAAATATTATTGTAAACCCACAAGATTGATAGGTGGATTCAAAGACAAAAATAGCATCTAAAACTACATTTAAGCTTTAACTTGTTTTTTTGAAAAGATGACTAATTTTCAAGTTGATGGTGTCATTTAATCTGTGTTTAGAACTAGAAAACTATGCCTACAAATTGTGAAATAGTCTGCATCTCTGGTTTCTGTTTAAAATAACTCTGTAACTCGCATTTCTGGTGCTTCAAAAGACAGTTAAAGTGCTAAGAATTTGAGTAAAACTGTGTGCTTAAGACAATTTTAGAAATCTAACAAAACTGTGGCCTAAGTAATGTTCTGCTACTTAAAGAATATTTATAATTGTACAAGAAGCTAACAACTTTAGCTTCACACATATCCTACAGACTCTGGAAATTGTCCCCATATCAGTTGCACGCAGTTTCTTACTGGTGCTACGTTCCTCCTTAACATACAAACTTCCTCTTTTGGGGTCAAATCCTGAGCCGACTTTGTGCCCTCAGCCTTTATGTGGTAACCCTATACAAACATATAAATTAGCCGTGGACTCACTTAGGGAGAGCTGACAGCTAGTTGTACATGACACACAAGGGTTCTGCTTCATAAGTAAGCTCCTCATTCCCCTTTTCTCTGTTGTCAGCTGGAGACAGGGCCAGGGACACAGAGGACACTTCAGGGATTGATGGGGACTCTTCCCCATCCATTTCCAGCTTGCCAAGATGATGGTTTTAGGGAGACAATCTTCAGCCCAGTAGGTCTTGCACTGTCTTCTTCAAAAAAGCTCTTTTTCAATCTGTCAGCCAAGGGAGGGCAGTCTCTGGACTACATAGGGTTGAAAGAGATCTCAGGAGGTCATTGAGTCCAAACTCCTGCCCAAAGCAGGACCAACCCTAACTAAATCATCCCAGCCAGGGCTTTGTCAAGCCAGGGCTTCAAAACCTATAGAGAAGGAGATTCTATCACCTCCCTAGGTAACCTGTTGCAGTGCTTCACCACCCTCCTAGTGAAATAGTTTTTTTCTAATATCCAATGTAGACCTCCCACACTGTAACATGAGACCATTGCTCCTTGTTTTGCCATCTGTCACTACTGAGAGAAGTCTCTCTCCATCCTCTTTGGAACCCTCCTTTAGGTAGTTAAAGGCTTCTATCAAATCCTCCATCATTCTTTGGCAGACTAAATAAGCCCAAATCCCTCAGTCTCTTCTTGTAGGTCATGTGCAACAGCCCCCTAATCATGGGTGTCGGGTCCCAAACCGCCAGGCATAGCTCCACCCACACTTCACCCCCATAACGCCTGCTATAGGAATTCTGGGGTGGAGTATTGCTACCCCCAGCACCCGCCCCTCCCAGTGCTCTGAGGTAGGGGAGGGCAGGCCTGGCCACGTGGCACACCCTCCTCCCTCCCCCTGTGGTCCGGGGCTAGAGAGCCTGGGCCAGGCCATGCGGCACAGCACACCCTGCCTCTTCGTTCCACAGCGCTCAAGAGGCTGAGCTGGGTTTGGTTGAGCCGTGCTGCACGGTGCACCTTCCACCAAGGTTGGGGAGGCTGCAGCCAGTGTGCGCCCACTTCCTTCTCCTTCCCTCCCCTCCCCGTGGTTGGAAGGGGGGAGCACACGCATGGCATGTCGTTCAGCCTCCCAGGAATGGGGAAGGGGCAGGGCCTACCAGAAAGGACATGGCTGGAGGTCTTGCCTCCCCCAGCCCTACCTTCAACAACTGCCCATGCCCCTAATCATTTCTGTTGCCCTCTGCTGGACTTTCTCCAGTGCATCCACATCTTTTCTATAATGAGGGGCCCAGAATTGGACACAGTACTCTAGATGTGGCCTCACCAGTGCCAAATAAAGGGGAATAGTCACTTCCCTGGTTCTGCTGACAGTGCTCCTACTAATTCACCCTAATATGCCATTAGCCTTCTTGGCTACAAGAGCACATTTTTGACTCATATCCAGCTTCTCATCCCAGGTCCTTTTCTGATGAACTGCTGCTTAGCCAGTCGGTCCCCAGCCTGTCGTGTAGCATACCCTGCTGAGTCTCTTCCTGGTTGTCCAGTCTCCCAAATGCTAGGATGTGACACTGTACATGAACAATGCCTGCCCTGAAGATGTGCTCCGGCATACAGTTATCATTTATACAAGTTAGACTAGAAAGAGTTTGGAGAGACATGTCAGCATTTAGATGCTAGTTTGGGGAACCTTTGTATTTGTCTCTGTAGTTGCAAAGATAATTTGTTTCAAGGCTACATTAGCTACATGGGTGTGAGCCAAGACAAAATTTGTCCCATAAACATTTGTGAGCACTCTCTTGAGTTGTAATTATTGACACATGTGGAGTCAATGAACCCAAAAGAAATTGTGGGAAGCTACCTCAGTGTTTTTGAGCAAGTCATTTAGAACTAAATACTCAAGCCTTCATTCCTTTTTAGTGCCTCCTTTTTAAAGTGCCCTATATTGACAGCAGCCAAGTGTTAGTGTTGATAGGTGCTGGCACCCACAAACTCTGCTTGACCTCAGTGGAATTTGTAGCTGCTCTGAGAAATCTGAAAAGTAGGCCAAAGGTGTCTGCACCCAATTGAGCACCAAAGTTAGTGAACTTTTTTTTAAGTAAGTCTTGATCTCCGTGTGCCTCAGTCTTCCTCATCTTCAAAATCAGGAAAATCTTATCCTTCTTTGTAGAACACTTGCAGACAAATGGATGAAAAGTGTTATGTAAATACTACAGAGTCCTATTATTTGTTGTCTATGCGTGAGGCCATTTAATTATTCACATAAAATATATACCCCATATCAATATCACTAGAAAGACTTTCTGGATTGACACATCTAAGCTCCCAGGCCTCTGAGAAGAAAATTGTTTTTGTGAGATATATTAGATGAACATTTTCTCTTCATATGTAATATCAATAATACCTACGGTATTGGAGTATACTTATGTTAAATGGGCTTTGCAGTTGATTAAATGCCTGAACTTTACTTCAGTATTTAATCAACTGCAAAAGCTGTTTATTGCTTGTATACCCTAGCTCAATAGAATAACATTTGTTTTTATATACAGCCTTTCATATTCAGGTTAGTTACTAGTGTAGTGACTCTGTGGGCAAACACCACAGCTATTATATATGGAGTCATACCTCGCAATCCAGCTTGGACGTTCAAACCTGTTTTACTGAGAGCGCGAAAATGTTGACATCATTACAATGTTGACTATAGATATTATTGCTTAAATGTAAGCAGTAAAATGTCTCATGACATAGTTATGATAAATCTTTCATTGGCATTCCATTTTGAAACAAATGTGAAGCAACTGTGAAAATAAAAGTAGGTATTTGTTTTAAACATAAGACCTTCTTTGACTCATACTGTGCTTTTAGGATTTTGAATTAGAGTATAACATGCTGCAGCATAATTTAGTAGAACGTGCTGGGGCAGTGCCAAAAGTGAATAAAAAACATTACTACTTTCAGATTAATCACGGATCAGTCGGTATAAATATCTATTCAGAAATAAAACAACAGAGTATGTGCAGAGTATGTGCAGACAGGTAAATAAAAACCTATATCCCCCAACTGTTCTTTCCAATGTCACGTCACAAGTAAGAGGTTGAGATCCAGTTCTCCAAGGTGCTGAGCACCCTCTACATAGTTACTCACTTTAATAGGCGTAGAGAATGCTCTGCATCTCATAGGAATGAACATTTGATTGGAGGTAAAAATGGCCATCGCTTTTGTTAAATAACCAAACTTAAGCCAGGTCAAGAACGTCCCAGCCAAATAGATTTCAGGTCTGCACAGGCTGTATCAAGAATCTAGACAATGTCTTGGTTTGCACCCAAGCAAGATGTCTAACACTGATTGTCCAGAGCTGGCATCCCCTAATGAGAACCCACCGTGGGACTTTCTATCCATGGCTAGCAATGGTGCAATCAATCAGTCGGGGGTCACACAAGTGAGAAGAAAAAAAACCCCCTCACTGTGGCCTCTGACTGAGGAGAAAGACACTCCCCACATTCCCCTTGCACACTAGAACCTAGGTGGGGCCCAACTTAGTAGATTTTGTGCGCTACAGTTCCCCAAGGGGGGCCACAGGGAGGCTGGAGCACCAGCATGGATTCCCCAATGCTGGGGGGGCCCTGAGTCTTGGGGGCCGGATCCAGGCAAGCCGAGGGCCATATTCGTTCCACAGGCCTGAGGCTTCCCCACTCCTGTGCTACATAATAAAAGCCCCCATATTGCCTATCTCACTGCCCCATCAGCATGTTGGGCAGTAACTTGTAAATGGCAAAAGTATTGAATTCTGGCTGGACTGTGAATTAACAGATAAGTGAGCTCTCTGGTGGAAGTTGCTGAGCACCCTCAACTGTTGTTGCAATTAATGGCACTCAGAACCTTGCGGGATTATGATAGCCTAGTGCAGTGTTTCCCAATTGGTGATCCGTGGAACCCCAGGGTTCCACAAAGCGAAAGTAAGGGTTCCATGAGAATGCGGCATTGTCCCGCCCCCTCTTAAAGAGACAGAGTATTTTGCTGGTAGAGCAGGTGGGGCACTGCCGGTGGGGCACTTCCTGGAATCAGCTGCTGATCAGTTTCAGCAGCAGCTGACTTGGGGACGCCTGGGGTTCTTAAGTTGAATCTGTATGTAAGTCGGAACTGGCATCCAGATTCAGCCGCCAGGGTGCCTATTCCGAACTACCGGTACACCTCGTTTCACGAGGAGTAACGGTAGGTCGGGATAGGAAC